CCACTTGTCTTAACTATACACAGCCATGTTGGCTGTTATAAGAGAAGTCATGAGTTTGGTTCAAGACATGTGAATTTTGGCATTTGTCTTATTTATATATAACCATCTAAATTTTGTGAATTTTTCAACATATAAAGTATCTTCCTTTGTTATTCATTTATCCCCACTTGTCTCAACTATACACAACCATGTTGGCTTTTATAAGAGAAGCCATGAGTTGACATGTAAATTTTGGTGTTTGTCTTATATAATCATCATATGTTTTTTTAAACATATAATATATAGTATCTTCAGTGTAACAGTCTTTTCATTTCCAGGTGTATTTTGGCCAACAAAGAGGACAGAACATTAAAATGTTTAACTTTTTCATTGCTAGAAACATTTGTTCTTCATTTATCCTCCTCTTATCTTCAATTTATTCCTTTGGTCTTGTTAGGCATTTTTGGCAATCCTTAAACTTGCTTCTGAAAGTTGCTCATAAGTTTTTTGGCAGTTGCTTCAACTTTGTTGACAACTTTGACCATAAATATATCCATAAGAAATTTGGAAGTAATTCCAGTCAGCACACCTGATTCTGAGAACTACTACTGGTTCATGCTGCTTCCATCTCATAGCTTACTCTCACATTGTTGCCCCATGTCATGGACACTAGTCTGTTAATTCTGAGATTACATCAGGACCTTAATATTGCCAATAGATTTTTCTCTTTGAAACCATCTTGGATACCAGGAGACCATTAACAGAAACACTGTAAATGAATTTGTAACTTGACAAAGTGTCTGTTAATGGCTCACAACTACCCATATCTAAATGCTACAATCTCTGAAACTATATTTTAATAGTACTTAAAATTTCATGTATGTAAATGTATTTCGACCAAGTACCAATCTCATCATATGTTCAGTAACACCATTACAAGGAGAGATATAGAACTATTGTCTACAACCATCAAAAAGGAAAGTGAAAACTTGTAGTTCTTGTTAACGTAACTGTGAAAGAACATTTTATAAAAAATATGCGTTTCCCATTTTTCTTATATTAAAAATTGATGTTGGGATAGAGGTAAGACTTGAATTTTATGATAGTCTTTGTAGAATTAGCATGATTTTATTGAATATACTTATTTTATCCTTTTTACCAATGTTACTGTCTTCATATAAAGGGAGGCAACATCTGTGGTGACTCCCTCATGCCCTGCAAGAAATGTGTGTTGAAATATTGCGTTTTAGAGCAATGTGCAGGTTTACATTCTTTAGATGAGAGAACACTTACACTAGAGCCTGTATCCAGAAGGCAGGACTTTTATTTTTCTACAATAGGTAAATACAAACTGTTTCTATTGACCACAGGCCCAATCTTTCGCACAAAAGTTTTGTCGGGACCTATAAAATATATTTTTAAAGGTGTCTGCCTTGATGTTGTGCATTTCTTCTTTGCCATTGCTCTAAGGACTGTGTCTTCCACTCCAAGCATTTTGTCTTGCTCCTTGAGTTCGATTGAGAAGGTTTGCTTTGAATTCGGAACAGAGATAATGTCCTCATGCTCAGGTTCATCCACTGGTACGCTCTCAGATTGGCTCATGTCGTTGATAAAGTTTTCAGCCATTGATCATCATTTTTGCGCATTGGGACTATCCATTCTCCATGTACTCTTCTACAGTAAGTTATTTGCCAATTACGTGAGCTGTGGTAGTGATGGGTGATTCAAGATCAGCATCCACCTCATCCTTTGTGGAGCCTTCAAAATCTGAAACTTCATGGCCTGCACGAGGGAAGCAATGCTGAATAGTCTCTGTGGTGACTCCCTCATCCAAAAGACAGCAGATTGCTTTGGTGAGCTCACTGATACTGTTGTTGGTTTCCATCACTGCTCTCTTCCGGTAGTGGGTCTGAAACTGTGGATGATCCCTTGATCAATTGCTTGGATGTGTGAAGTGCAGGAATTCAATACAGATTTTGGACAGGTTCATAGCAGGGTAACTTGGGAGTGTTGTCAATCAGGAGCAGAATATTGTTGTCTTGAGCTGCCATCCTGCTATTGAGCTGCCATCCTGCTATTGAGCTGCCATCCTGCTATTGAGCTGCCATCTTGCTATTGAGCTTCTGGCACCATAACTTGAAAATTGCAGATGTCATTCATGCCTTCCTGCTGTGTTCCCAGTCCACAGGCAATAGTCCTTTGTCTTGATTCCTGAAGCATGGAGAGTTTGCAGATTTCCTGATGACTAAAAAGTGTCAGCTTGTCTGTGCATGTAGAGTTGGAGTTGACAAGGGCGCTAAGTATGTCCTTAGATATTTTGACCCCATGACAGCCATCTCCAGTTGTGAGATTGATTTTGTAGGTATAGCAAGCCAGAAAACTCCACAAGTTCATCGGCATAACAGTAGAATCTGTGTAAGTGGAATGACCTCCGTTCTGCCAAAGAGCATTTTACTTACGAGGTGTTCCACTTATGAAGGTTTAGGGTTCATTGGGATTTAAAGAACATTCAAGATCAAATATAGGATTTATTAAATTAAGAATACAAATGTACCCACTCCAGTCTGATAGGCTGGCGGACATATCACTTATTTACAAAGTTTCACATGACTAAATTCGATTGATGTGGAGTCTCTCTATGCCAAAATACTGATTGGGACTTAAGAAGTTTTCATATGTCCTGACCTATATAATTTCACTTAAGGAAGAAATCCACATATCTTCAATTGGCTGCTGTACAGGAAGGTATAACCCGTCTCTCTCTAGCAAGAGGCCTGTCTCAACAATAAAAACTGACAGTACACCATGTGTCTGTAGGAATGATGTTGAATGCCTGGCCGCATCTGCCTCCCCTGCTGGTCCAACAGTTGAAATATACTCCCCTCACAGAAGAAAGGGAACTGCCAGGACATTTGGACCTTTGTTATTTTTTTATATTGTGGCCATTCTTTGAAAATTCTCACCAAATCTTGATCTTATGATGGAAAACATATATCAAGTTTATTACAAAAATGTCTTTGTAGTAGTTTTACTCTTGTCCGGAGTTACTGTTTCACACATTCTTTTTTTTCTTTGAATGATAGTTGTCCTTTCCCAGTTATCATTCCTTCCTCAAAAATATAAAAGTCTAGAAGGGGTGCATACTGATGCAAAGTGATGCACAATGTTCTTATGAAGCAAACCACATTCGTAAAGATGGTGATGGCCCTCACGGCCTCTTTGTACTGTCCGTCTATTAGCGAACCTTACACTATGCCACGGCGTTGGCATGCCTCCCGAAGTTCGTGGTCAAATTGAACGCATTTCGTGCTCACCGCGGGCACGTCATGAGTGCGCTTCAAGCTTATCGCGAGGTAATTTCGTATGTACCGCGGAGTTGGTTCATTCGCGTAACTTTCGCTTAACGTTCTTTGTATGGACACCAAATTTTAGTTTCATCTGATTCTATTTATTTACTCGATGGGCAAATGGTAAACCAGGTTTAAAACCATTATAATCTTTCAACGTACAGGATTTCCAGAGGATATTAAGTTATTTTCTTCATCTGATGACATCTGATGAATGTAGTCAATGTACATGAATGCTTTCCATGTAAGATCACATTATATTATACAATTTATAAGACTTTAAGTCCCCTTAGATGAAAACAAATAATTTACCAAAGCGTTTTTCAATTCAATCCAACAATTTACAATAAGACTGATTTCATAATTTGGATAAAGGCCACTCCACATATGAGCATATCTTACGCAGCCTGGCGCATTGCTGTACATGTGTCATTTCTGGCAAATTTTGAGAAGTGGAATTTGTTACAATTTTGAAAAAGCTTCACGAATTTTGAAAATTTTGTCAGAAATGACAAATTAACCTCAGTCAAATACCGTTGTCACCAATAGCCGACAGAACCGTCGCTTGGACTGTTTAATCACTTGGTCCTCATTTCATGAGATTTTATCGTCGTTAATTCTGTACATGTATAAAGCTCTTGTGAATTTATGATGATGTTTCATATGAAATCCCAATTTACATCAAATTGGGTCGTGGATCGCCACAATATAGGGCCTTTGACATTGTCAATGACAACGGAATCTGAATTTGAGTAATTTAGAAAGACAACGGCATATTTCCGTTGTCCCGTATCTCATTTTGATTAGTTAAATTTATTTCGATGGTAGAACATTATTAACTGTACAATGAGTATTCTTTGATTCATTGTTGTTCCAAAGGAATTTGTCTAGGTCCTCTATTAAACATTCAGTTCATGAAAATCTAATTGAAGGGACGGTTAAGTCCGAAATTTGTGACGACGGTAATTGACGTAACAATTGTCAGGCTATTCCATTGTGGCTAGAGTCTATGTGAATTTGGCCAAATCATATTTGAGTGCTGTTCATGACAAAATAAAGTGAGATGTAAAAAAACTCTCGGTGTTTATTGCAAGGACAATTAAAACTAACAACTATTGTAACTTACAAGATACATGTCCGCACCAAAAACAAAACATAACATACTGTATCTTATGAAGGAATATTTATTTTTGAAACGCTATTTCACATGAATATATTGTTTATTATCAGAACTGTTCTGGACAAAGATAACTAAGCATTTACAGCATTAAAGTACCAGATGGTATTCATATTAAAGGATTTGGCCATAAAAATAATTTCATCGTCAGGCAGCAGTTATATTCTAGAATACTACATAAGTAAATATGGTCACGATTAATGAATGCGTAGACTGTCAATACCATTCTCTTTTTAAGAAAATGTCAAACAACGCTATTGCTGTAATCTAATGATAAAGTTGAAAATAATGTAAACTAGCCTACAAAACTACAGGTGTTGTAACTGGCCTATCACACAGAGTTATTTAAGCAACAATACATGCGCTTTGAAAAGTTCTATACTAAATATATAGAGTGTATTACCAATTTTGTCAGATGTTAATTTTCTCACATGTTACTTATGCTGCGAAAGATTCAGGAAGATATCATACACAATTTTAATCAAAATGAACAAAACCTATTGAACATCCTGTAATAACTACATGTACAGATCCTCAAAATGGCTTGATGTATACATGCCTCACCATTCTACATGTTCTATAAGCCAGAGCTTGCCATACATGTAAGACTCATATAAAGAGCCTGTGCCTGGAGTTCCAGAATGGCATATTGTTTGTAATCTGCTTGGATCACACACACACAGACCAAGCCTATGCCTGTAAGCCAGACTGGCAAGAAGGTCTAATGTAGCATGAACCAAGGGAAGGTGTCCAAACGTTCAGTAAAAATGTATCGTATTCTTCTGTTTACAACTTCCCTTGACAATCTTGAAATTTCTTTCTTTTTGAGCGAGGGAAAGTGAACAGCCACTGAAGCTTCCAATGCATTTTTCTTTGGAATAGATATTTTTCCTTTAGCTAAATTTGTTTTTGAGCTTTTGCCCAAATAATTGCGGCCTCTGATTTCACCCAAGGTGAACATCTGGCAAGCAACCATGTAAATGAGAAGTTTTGGATAACTGTGGCATTGGGAGTTAGCATTCTGAATTAAAACGGGATCAATAACATAGGGGTCAGCTACATCTGGAAGACCAGTGTAGGGGGGAAGTGTGTTTGTTAAATCAGTGAGAGACTTATATGATGAACAGTTGGGGGTCACCATGAAATAGAGTATTAGCTCCTTGAATGATTGCTTGGTCTAAGACAGGGGTCATGTTTCTGTAAGTTCAGTGGGAATGAAACTCCTGCCATCACTCACATTATAAAACTGTTCAATGGTCACATTCCATATTCTTTTCTCTGAAAATTGTTCATTTGAGGGGTAAGTTGGTATGGGCTAATTTTGTGGTTAATCTTCATGTGTAATTTTTGCTACGAGTAGATTGTAAACAGTAGCTTGGAATGACAACATGATATCCAACTCCAAGTTTGCCCCCTTCCCAGAAGACAAAGTGCCTGTATGCCACGTGTCTGAATCCTTTGCAATTGTCACCATCCATATCATTTGTTTGGATTGTAATCCACATACCCAAGTAAATTGCCTTGACATGCCATAGAAATGGCAAGGACTGTCCCATCTAGAACTCTGAGTAGGACTAATGCTTACTAGATAACTGCAAGGTTGAGGCAGGATATCATCATAGTTGCTAAATTTCTTTCCTTATTGGGCATATTGTCTGAAAACAATTTTCGTGCTAATAAGTTTTATGTACAAAAATCGCTCTATAGTTTTTCTAAATATATCAAAATAAATACAATTACATGTATAAAATGGATCCATTTATGGAAATTCCAAATAATTGGGCAATATAAAATGTTTATGTATAAAAATAGCTCTATAGGTTTTCTAAATATAGCAAACTAAATACAATTACATGTATAAAATGGATGCCATTTTTAGAATTTCAAAATAATTGGGTTATGTCAGTTTGACATTAACATTATTTTGAATACCCTAATGCTACCAGTTTCTGTGTACAGCTTAATACTACAGGGGTCTTGCAAGCAGGGGATACGTTTCTTCTGGTTTTGCCATACAGCCTAAATCCTGTCAGTTTGAAATAATGGCATTCCCAAACTCCAGCAGGACCATCTAGAGTAGTTATCAGATCCAGGATGTTGTTTCTTGTTTCTTGAACTCCTCTGGTAACTCTCCTACAATGCAGTGCCATCTCAGCAGCAGAACTGATCTTTCTGTCAATATCAAAATCTGACAGACCTGGAAGATTCAGTTGCTGCCTTTTGGCCTTCCGCAGCAGGCTGACATCCTCTTCATCCCACACAAAAATTGCACCAGATAGTTGTGAAAGAAATGTACAGAAGGTGTGATTCTGTCTGTACTCTCTTGGTAAACCTCATAAAGTGCCATATGTCAAGCCTCAGTGTAAAATCCCAAGGGGAAAACAGGTTGTGTAGAGCAGTGCCTTTGCTATCTTGCAGCAGCCCCTATCTACATACATCACTTTTGATCTAGGGACATTAACTTAGCGCGTATCTTTTTACAAGTCCTGTAGCCAGGTCCTTTAGATCATTCCCTTCACTTCATGTGAGTACAACATTAAGCACCTCACCTTTTTTATTGCCCACATCAGTGGCCCAACAGGCAGTGCCACCAGCTGCTCCTCTCAATTTCTTGGCAGTCTTTTTGGTCGAGTCTAGCTTTAAGATATTGCCAAATGTTGAGGTCATTTTGGCCTTGGTCTCTGGTAGACGAGTTTTTATTGCCCAAATCAGTGGCCCAACAGGCAGTGCCACCAGCTGCTCCTCTCAATTTCTTGGCAGTCTTTTTGGTCGAGTCTAGCTTTAAGATATTGCCAAATGTTGAGGTCATTTTGGCCTTGGTCTCTGGTAGACAAGTGTGAATATCTTGCAGATACTCCTCACTGTGTTGTTCTCTTATGTTGTTTATTGTTCGCGATGGGCCATTTCCAATTTTCCTGTCTCCTAGTTTGTGAATTATTCTGATGTCACACGCATATCTGTAGGTCAGGACACAGGGGAATAACCTCCTATGTGCTTCATCAAGCTGATTTAACATCACCAAGCTCCAACCACACCACTGGTGTCTGCATGATGGACACATAACCCTCTCTGTCCCAATCAGATAGTAGGTGTCCTCACTGTAGGATGGAGACCAGCAGCAGTGTACATACCAAACATACCAAATGTTTAAGATTGACTGACTATGCCTCAATGTCCTGATCAGCACTTTGTTGCCTTGGCAGTTGATGTATAAATATAATATCTGGCAGATGTAGAAATATAGTTTCTATGCTGCACATTGTCACTACCGTTACAAAAGTTCCTTTTCCTGAATTTCTCTCAAGTTGTAAAAAACAAGAATGGCAAATATTACACTGCACACAACAAAATATTGAAGAACATAAATGTTTTACACGCACCTTTTTGGGTTGCTATATAAACCAAAACAACTGAATAAGGTGTGTATTAAAGATTTACTTTCCTGTTATCTCAGAATCTGCTTGGAACTGTACCGTTGGATTTCTATGGGAAATTCCTTAAAGAGAAAATTCTAGGGATTAAGGAATGTGTATAGTTGACACATTTTAAGAAATTATTGGCAAACATGGAACAAAAATCATTTTCATATCCTACAGTTTAGAAAAAACAATGCATATAATTTTTCACAGTTCTCATTTATATACTAAAACATAGTTTCTGCTTTGAACCCTGTATAATGTCCTGTTACATCAGGGAATTTGCTCCTGATCCTTACGCAGGAACAACTTGGTACTACTCTTCGATCTTTTTGGGTTAACATCCCATGCCTCAACAGAACAAGAAGTGTATACGCTGCGTGCCGTTTGCTTTCATTAACTCTACTTGCGTTGTTGCATTAAGTCCAAAGGCATTCAGGGAATTTGCTCCTGATCCTTACGCAGGAACAACTTGGTACTACTCTTCGATCTTTTTGGGTAAGCATCCCATGCCTCCACAGAACAAAACGTCTATACGCTGCGTGTCGTTTGCTTTTCATTAAGTCTACTTGCATTGTTGCGTTAAGTCCAAAGGCATCACTTTGATATAACATGTTCTTGTGAACTGCCATATCATCAAGGCAATAGGCTTCAAACTCCTGCAACAAACATAGATAATAAATAATATGTAGAAAAAGTATAATGGGTACTGATGTCACATGGTCAAGGTATATTTTACAGTAGAGCTACAGAGGTTAGAATGATTATTCTTTGGAATACGAAAGTTTGATAATAATTCTGTACAAGTCCTTGGCTAAAATTGAAATCATGAATATTAGCTTGAATCAATAGAAAACATTTCCCACAATGAAGTTTCAGATGAATTTTACAAGCATACAAATAGGATTCATTAGACTCCAGATGTAAATCTGGAGTCTATAGCTTTTGTCAGTATTCTTCTTCTTCTTCTTTATTATTATTCTCTACATGTTTTCTCAGTAGTCAGAAGACATTGAGTCAAGACCTGTATATGGTCAATTTAGGTCCAGTATCTAGTTTCTCGGAAATTGGGTCAATTTTTTATCTAGGTCAAAGGTCAAGAACTAGGTCAAATCTTACATTTTCAACCTTCCGTATATTATCTTCGTCGTTATTTATCGAAACAACTTTGTCTTTTTTTCATCATGTAGCTTAGAGACAGCCCTTTCATAAGTGTGCCATCAGATTTTTGATTACTGTTACCGATTTTGAGATATGGCGTCCGGAAAGTAGATCAGAACAAAAAGTTCTCCAAATTCAACATGCGAGTTATCAAATTAGTGCAGAATGATCTCAGGAATCCGAATCTGCAAACCAGATTTAGGTCAGACTTGGTTCGGAAGTTATGGCGTTTTGAAAGCTCAAAAATCGCTAAATTTGGTGCCCATGTTAAGTCAATGGGAAAAAAAATTTTTTGAAGTGAGAAATACGAAATATAGACTGAGTTCAGCTTAATTTAATGAAAGCTTTTAAAAGAAGGGGACCTCAAAAGCCATCTAGCTTCAAAATTTTGACACCAAAATACCTAGGTCAAAATCTAGGTCAAATCCAAAGGTTTTCCTCATTTTTGCGATTCTGACACTACACTTTAATTATATTCTTTGAAATTGTGTATACATGTAGCCAAGAGTGTGCTAATAGTGTTAGCCTTTTGCCGTCAGAGAGTATTTTGACCCACTTTTGAGATATGGTGTCCGGAAAGTAGGCCAAAATAAAAAGTTCTCCAAATTTAACATATGAGTTATGAATTAAGGGTAGAATTGTCTCAGAAATCAGAATCTGCAAACTAAATTTCGATCCGACTTCCGGTTCCGAAGTTATGGCGTGTCCGAAAAGTAGGTCAAAACTAAAATTCGCCAAATTTAACGTATGAGTTATGGATTAGGAGTAGAATTTTGTCAGGAATCCGAATCTTTAAATCAAATTTCGATCCGACTTCTGGTCCGGAGGTAAGGGGTTTTGAAATTTCGGAAAATCGATCTGATGGTATCCTGATAGAAAGTCAAGAGTAGAGAAGGAAATATTGAAAAATTCATCCATCCTTCCTATCTGATCTTATCCTATCCTATCCTTCCTATCTATCCTTCCTTTGTATCTTTTCCTTCCTATCCTTCCTATCCTCTCTTATCATATCCTTTCTAACTATTCTGTTCTATCCTATCCTTCTTTCTTATTCTATCCTATCGTTCCTTCCTATTCTATCCTATCCTACCTTCCTATTTTATCCATCCATCTTTTTCTGGATGACTCGGCTTATTCTGGATGACTCGGCTAAAAAAGGTCTAAATCTGGAGTCTGAAATTGAACTTCGTTCAATTTCCAAAGTCTAGTTATGCATGATTTTTAAGCAATAAAAGTTGTGTCCATTTGGAAAAAAATATAAAAAGTGCTTAGTAACCCAAAATATTAAAAAAAAATTGCAATTTAAATTACATTATTGATTACAAAGTGTACAGTGTACCCTTGCCTCATATAATTACTGAGTTCAATAATGCATGGAAGTATAATCATTGATTACACGGCACACTTGATTTTCCATTATTAGAAAACCTGTGAAAAAATTTCCTTCACATAAATGTAAAAGGACAGGTGGCAGTAAACCCCTCTTTTAGCCCCCCTACAAAACAAGTATATATTGACATGGAATTGAAGAGGAAGTATGACTCATTACCTAAAATG